TGATGGTGATGATGATAATGATGATTGTGATGATAATGATGGTGGTGATTGTGATGATGATGATGGTGAGGATGATGATGATGGTGATGATGATGGTGGTGATGATGGTGATGATGGTGATGATGAATCTCCCTACAAGTTTACCCGAGCCTCTAGCCCTTCCTAGATTCTGTTTCTCTTTAGAGTGCCATCTCCCCGAGGAGCCTACAGGATCCCTAAGGATATCCCCCCCACCCAGGCCTGATTTGACTTCCCATCACCTGAAGCTCCTATGGCTTTCCTTACCCACAGCAGGCTCCTGGAAGTGTTCTCTGAATGTACAAAGACACAACTACGAAGACAGCAAAAAGAATATACTAAAAAGCAAAAACCAGCACAAAGTCTTCCTACACCAAAAAGTAGATTTTCAAAAATGCTATGATAAACCCCACATACTCAGGAAGGAACCATGACATCTTTCAAATAAGGGGGCAGGCTTCCATAAAGGCAGCTAATGGTCTGCAAACATCCAGGAAATGCGAATCCAAGACTCAGTATATGTAAAAAGACTTCTCAGCCTGTCCCTCTGCTCAACAGGAACCCAGAGTCATCAAGGGAAACAAACTCTCAGAATCAAACAACCCAACTACATTCAACTTCCAGGTTGACAGAGTCATCTTCACTGAAAGTGCCAAAGGCAGACCAAATGAGGGGGCGCTTCGTGGTGATGTGATCACCATTCACTCTGTGTAACTCAATCCCCTACCATTCTGATCTGAACAAGTGGCTACTCTAAAATGCACACGTGCACACCCATACATACACACACAAACACCCCTCCAGAGGCCTAATTTCCCAGTCAAAAGACATCTGGGTTATTACCAGCTGCCTTTCAATAATGCTTTGAAAGTTGAAAAGGTTGCCTTTAGATTAAAACATTCCAACCAAAAGTAAAAGAGACCCTAGGATTTGGTTTATGTATTAAGTAGCAAAACTTGAGCTTTCTAAGGAAAGCAACATAGTTTAAAAAAATAAAAACATGTTTTATTACAGTCTTCCATTAACATCTGAAGGTTTTAAAGGATCAAAGCAAACAAATGATATTTTATATTAAACTCTTACTAAAATCCAGGAGGAAAAAAAAACTAATTAATGTGGTGACAAAGTATTTTTCCGCTTTGTGTTACATGTATTATAAATGTATCTACTGCGTTCCTTGTGTTATTATGGAATCGCATGAAATCTTGTGACCAAATGAATGAAATGCATCAACTACTATTAACAAAACAAAAGGCTGAGCTTATCTCATTAGGGGACTCAAGGGTAGGAATCAGGATTTGAGGATGAATACACTTCTATTCTCTGAGAATCACAGCACTGAATAACTCCTTTACTGCCTCGCATCCACCCCTGCCAACATGCAAATGCACCCCCTCCTATTTGTGTCCGCAGCCAGACTATTTGTGGCATTGGTATCTAGACTTCAAAACAATCCATTGTTCATAAATCTAGGACACAGCCACAAATTTCTCACACTATCCCATATGAACCTTAATCTCCAAATTGTGTTTTATAGCACATAAAATGTGAAACCTGTGAGGAAGGGGGATAAGTGGTAAGTAGGAGCTTCCCCCTTTCAAAACCATGGAGTAAACTAGTTAGACATATGCTAGTTCCCTTATTTCTAGGATTTATAGAAGATTTAAGTTACAGCAGAAATGGAAAAAGTCTCATTTTCATACTCAAGCGTTAGGTAATGCCTGAACTCTTCAATTCCCCTAAAATTTACAAAAATCCAGTTTAGTTTCCAGTGGAAAAGCAATTATTAAAGAGCAATTAAGGGCGCCTGGGTGGCTCAGTTGGTTAAGTGGCTGCCTTCGGCTCAGGTCATGATCCCAGGGTCCTGGGATTGAGTCCCACATCGGACTCCCTGCTCAGCGGAAAGCCTGCTTCTCCCTCTCCCTCTGCCTGCCTCTCTGCCTACTTGTGCTCTCTCTCTTTCTCTCTCTGTCAAATAAATAAAATCTTTAAAAAAAAAAGCAATTAAAATAATACTTCAAAGCTCATGTAATGTGCTGGGCATTTGGGGATGTTTGCAGACACAAAGATCTTTCCAATCATCACTAATTAACAAGATTTCCTACATAAAATCAGAGGGATTTCCTTCAAAACGCAAAAACATTCCTCATGTGCTCGAAGAAATCTCTGACCCAATCAGTTAAGTTCCCAGAGGCACAAGACACAATGGCTGGTCAACAGGAATAAACTTCAAGCTGTAAGGCGGGCCAACCAAAAGTCACATCACTGTTCTGTAACAAAGAGGAGCTTAAATATTTCCTCTGCTACAGAAAGGCCTGATGGCAATTCCGCAGGAGGCAATCAGCATCCGCAAGGAGTCCTGGACACTGGGCTCCCACCCTACAGGGCAGCCTCATGGCTGAGACCAGGCTCAGAGCTGGCTGCTTAGATCTGAATCCTGGCTCTGCTGCTCACTAGCTGTGTGGATCTGGGCAAGTTCCCTCCTTTCTCTGGGATGCAATTCTGCACCTGCAAATGAGGACAAGACTGACAGCTTTCTCACTGGAATGCTGGATGAGATCCAATGAGATAATCCTTCTTTCTCAAGCTCTCAGCAAAGGGCCCAGCACATCAGAAGTGAAATATAAAAGGTCTCGATTGCCATGGGGTGAGGGTGAAGAGGTAGAAGTAATGCCACTATAATCCACCAGCTATCTGGACGCTGGCCCATTTATTCGAGAGGCAGAAAGGCACAAAACACTATCCAGGGATTGAGTCATACAAGGTGGTCTCATCCGTGGTCACCTGACCAGCTAGAACCAGAAGAGCAGTTAACAGAGCTATCTACGGTGCCTGAGTTTGGCAAAATTGAGATTTATCCTCGAAGAAGATGGAGCAGGGAAATCGGTCTCTAGTCTTATTTTACTGCAAATATCTGTAAACCACTTGGCCCAGCTCAGGTAAGGAGGTCCCTTTTCTTTCCAATGTGGCAGGCAATTACTAGCTCTCGCGTGACCAAGTGGCGCCCGTCACGATCTGGAATTGAGTTCAATGTGATGGGCTGCTTACCTCCTCTCTCTTCCAGACTGCTCATGGTCTTCAGCAGGGGTTAGAAAAGCAGAAATGAAAACCCATTTGGTTCATACTTGGGAGACTGGTCAAATCAGCCATGAAATCGTGGTACTTACAAACATGAGGCGGGTAGGTATGTTGTCTGATTGCACCAAAGGATTTTTATAGAGCCAGATCTCTTCTGGCTGGATGACTCTCTGGAATGGATCCAAAAACTCCGTAAAACTGAAACAAAACAAAGACAGACGCGTGAGGGCTTGAGCGCTCATCTGTTGCCTGTAGTCCCCGAGAAGGCCACTCCCACACGCCCTCAGTGGAGAATCCAGCCTCTGGGGACGGAGAAGGTAATAACAGGCTGCCCAGGGGTGGGGGGTGGGGGGCAGATGGATTGAAAGAATTACTGAGATTCTGTAGAACCTTCTGTCAGCAGCAAAGCCCCATTCTGGGCATAAAAGAACAGCGGCGAAGCTGACCTACAAAGACCCTAGAAGTCAGGGCTCCAAAGTGAACTAGGAGCCGAAGGGCAGAATGGGGCGGGGAGGGGGGAGCTCAGACTGGGGCAAGGCCAGCCAGCAGCACAGCTCTGGGAAGGAAATGGGCTCAATGTGGAGCAAAGGTGAATGAGCAGTTGGCACCACCTGGGGAAAGAACCCTGGGCTCTTCCCTTCCCTCCCTTACCCTGATGGCACGCTGACACTTCTCCACCAGTAGGGGGCAGAGTGAGCAAGAAAAGCCTCCCTGAGAATACGGAAGGTAGGGCAGGAGGAACACTGAGAGAAAGGGAGGGAGGGAAGGAAGGAAAAGGGGAATAAGAAGAATTCTGGGGCTGCTGCCAAGAAACCAGACAGCATTAAGCATCCACGTCCTCCTCTCATCACCCTCCCAAGCCCTCCCACACCCTGGGAGCCCACAACACCCATGCGGATGGAAAGCAAACACCACCAAGAGTAAAACGGGATGGAGCGGGGTCAGGGGGACGGAGCCTGCAGGGATATGGTTTGCTTTGTCCGACTGACCCTCCGGCCCAGGTCTCCACCTGGCGAACTCAGTTCAGAATGGGGGTCCGAGAGAGCCAGGCAGAGGCTGAATGTCTTTTCAGACCTAGTCTCGGAGGTCTCATGGTGTCATCTGGTGACATGCAAGTCATTAGGTCAGCCCACATTCAAGAGAGGAGTGGACTCCCCTCTTGGCAGGGATATAGAGCAAGGTCCCAACAGAGAAAGGCTGCTTAAGATGACAGATGTGGCTTTAAAATAACAATATGCCAACCACCGGCTGTCATCATTGTAATGGGCCCACAGCCCCCCTCTCAGAGACCCCAGAACCTTGATCCCCATTCCTTCCCCATGCAGCCAGCCACACTGCTGAGCACGTCCCTCCTCACCTTGCTTGTCCCCCAGGTGTTACTCCCCTCGTGGCTATTTTTTAAAGCCTCGTGCACCCAGCCTTTTGCACAATTCTACATCCCACCCCGAGAAGCTGCAGTCAGAATGCATCTATCAAGCAAATTATATCCTCTGGGTGCAGCGGAGTCAAGAAAGATAGATGTCCCTTCTCCAGCCACGCTCCAGCCACCAGTGGCTGCCTCTGAGAATCCAGACAGCGGGGCACCTGCACAGAGGACTTGGGCCTCAGAAAGCAAAGGGGGGCAGAGGTGGGCATGCGGGGTGCAATGGAAAGGTCTGGAGACCATACAGGGTGGTTACCAAGAAAGGACATCCCAGGCCTGGAAACCCCCTCCCACAAGCTCTCTGTAGGTGGTCTGGAAGCCAGGAAATGGAAACCCACTTCCACGGAGGAGGTCAGGCATGGGCTCCCATGACCTGTTCACAGGGGCTCACTACGCCCACATGAGGACTCCCCAGAGCTGTTAGATCAGCACTCCCCAAACATGAATGTGCCCAGGATCCACTTGGGGGGCTTGTGCCTACAGAAACAGCCAGTCCCGGGAAGGGCCAGAGAGTTGGCATCTCCAGCCAGGTGCCCCGTGGTGCCGATGCTGCTGACCTGTGGCTCAAACCTTGATTCGCAAGGGGCCAGGGCATCGGCCTCACAGGGAATGCAGAATCTTGGGGCCTAGCCCAGACCTACTGAATCACAATCTTCACTTTTAACAAGACCCCCAGGGGATGCATGTGAGCACTATAGTCAGATATACACAGCTCTTGGGTGGGAAAGCTGGTGCTTCCCAACTTCGGCCTTTGAAGAACCAAGTTGGCCAGTTTTGCCTTATCCCCCGCCCTCCTCCCGGACCGTGACTTTCCTCGAGACTTTGTAAACTAAAAGCCTAGAAGAAACTTCACGTCACTGCTTAATTATGAAATCAGCATTCCCTCCATAGACAGCGGGTAAACGTCAAAATAAATACAATGAAAACCAAAGACTGCTATTAAATTCTACTTTGGTGCTGCTGCCTTGGAAGCTCGCCTGCCCTCTCTGTGGACGCCCTCCAGGGCTTCCCCCGCGAGGCAGGGAAGATGGAAGGACAAGTGAGAGGGGGCGAACGTGCCCTCCCCGTGCCTGTGGAGGTGGGGGCTTCCACTGCGTGTCATCTCAACTCACCCCGCAAAGCCCGTAAAATCATCTCCGGCACTGCTGCGGTCATGGAAGCAGGTCAAAATGTTTTGATGCGAAAAGGAAGGAGTTACTACTAAAGTAAACATACAATTTTCTTTTGTCAAAATTCTAACTGCCCAAAGTCAGGGACCTTGCTGTTGGATTTGGATCCAAGTTATGCTTCTTTCATTTCTTGGCTGTTTGAATTTGACAATTACCTTAATCTACCTGTATATCAATTTCTTCTTGGCAAAGGAGGAACAGTGTTATTGTTTTCTCCTTAGTTTTCTGATGATGCAGTTTGAAGAACTTGGAAAACATACACTGTGAAAATTCAAAGACATTATTCTAACTTTATGCTGGACATAAAAATCATGTGTAAATCCTCCTTAGGCTTGGTTCCTATCTCCTCTCTCTCTCTCCTGGTGGCCAGTCCTGTTTTCACAGCCCAGCTGACTTTAAGCAGCCTACAGTATCTGCTTATATAGGAAGGAATGCAGCAGGGGACAGACAGTGGACCATCATTTTTGCCTACTGTTTATTCACTCAACAAACACCTAACTGAGTGCCCGTGATGTGCCAGGTAGTGCCCCATGAACCCTGGTGAATAAAACACACATAGTCCCCACTTTTGCGGAGATTATAGTCAAGGGACCCTAAGTGCCAACTGATTGGGGAATGAGATGTTGAATCTTCTGTTACAGGTATCAGAGTGCCGTCTACACAGATCGTCAGCCCACTCTGCTTTGAGGAGATGTCAGGTTAGGAGTATTCCAGCAGTTGGACCCACGAGATGGCCTCCAACCTAGAGCCGCTTACGAGGACCTGACCCCCGGAAATGTTATGGGATGTGTATCTATCACTGTTCATGTGCTGAATGTGCCAACAGATTCAGCCCAGAGTTAGGAACCCAGAAGAATGGCCCATCTTGACATCACACTAGCAAGGAATAATGATGCTTCTGTCCCCCATGCCTCTTTTAACTCAAAGTCAAGTTCTCAAAGCCCCAGAATCTCCCCATCATCTTCTAAAAGACTCCACAAATTTGTCAATGATCTTTAAGTCACGGACCTTGATAACATACCTTTTTTAAGATAAGGTTAACAATTCAGTCACATACTAGGCACAGATTTCTACCTCCTTGACTCCCAAACAAAAATAACACAAGATTGTACTGAAACATGAACTTAACCAGACCATTAAACTTGGTGTAAATCCCTGCTTTGGCATTTGCCAGCTGGGTGGCTTGAGAAAAGTCACTTAACCTCTCTGATCCTCAAACACCATCCCCCCCCCCCCCGGCCTCAGGATGGCCATACCTTCCAGGACAGTGATAATACTGCTATCATTAGCAGTAAGAGAAGTTGGGGTCTGGCACGGTGTCTGGGGCACTGAAAGCCTCAACCAAATGCTCTTCCTGCAGTGTGGGCATGAACAGTGCTGAGGACACGATGTGGGTCTGAGAAGGATGCCCCCCCACCCCCCGATCCCCAACCCAGGGGCAGTGAGGTTGCATGCCCGGGGAAAGAGGATCAGACAGAATGTCAACACCTGCCACTCATCACTTGGCCATTCTGTGAGCCAACAATGGCCCAGGCAGCCACTGCTGAAGCTTGCGGTGTTCAGGAGGGCAAAACAAGACTCGTGATAAAGAAGTTTTCCAGGCAAAAGCAAAAAGTAAAGCCTGTTTCTTACTTGAACTATTGACCTGTCCCCCCCTAGTGGGCCTCTCCCACACAGGAGGGAAAACACTGGCAAATGGGCTCTGGAAGTGGTCAGGGACAGGCAGCTGCTACATAGGGAAGAGGTGTATAGGATTTAGTCCTGGGCAAGGGATAAGATGAGGCTACAGAGAGAACACGCTGATGAATTATCTCAGCGACCTGCCCGCACACAGCCTTCTCCTGAGTTTGGTCATTGGATGCCCCAAAGTCAAGAGTAACAGTTTTCATAAAAATAGCTAGTTATTACGTTTGGAGCCGTCTTGTGCTGTGCCCTTGACTTGGTGCTTTCCAACATCCCTTGTTTACTCTTCATAAGAGCCCTATGAGATAGTAATTGCTGTTATCCCCATTTTAGAGATGGGGGCATTGAGGCCACAAAGCAAAGTGTCTCTTGCCTGAGTCATCACAGCTCTATGTGCTATGGAATGTCCACTATCCCACATCCTTCTGAGCACATACTCTGGAACTTTAAGGAAAGAACACGCAAATACACACACACACACACACACACGCGCACACACACGCATGCATTGCCCACCAGTGTAAAGTCATCTGCAATTATTTTAATAAAAGATACCATTTTCCACAATTAGAAACACAGCCTTACTCTCGGGAAATGCAACATGGGGATCTCAGTTCTCAGTCAGTGTGAAGGCTGAGATCAGATTCTTGCAGAGAGCAGTTTGACATTTGTTGGGAAGGAGGGAAGGGCAGAAATCATGAGAGAAGTGAAGCCCCCGAGACGTTGCTCCCGCCAGCCCCCTCCTCCCTGCCCCTTGGAGAAGCAGGTGCCCCTGCAGCAAAGATGCCTGCAGCTCACCTGCACTGGGGAGAACGGCATCCAGGAGACCAGCCCTGGACCAGACGAGGAACGGCTCCCAGAGCCCCCACCCCATCCTGGGGATGCTCTCTCTTCTCTGCAGCAGCCTCACAAAGGATGAGAAG